ATGGAATAAGAAAATGAAATAGTAAATTGATACTATAGTATGTTTAGGAACATAGTGTCGTATTAAAGATAACATACTTTTGGCTTTAGAGAGTTTTTTTATTTAATTGAATCATTTGATAACTCCGATGTTTTTGTCAAGAAATACTCCGCGATATTTTATAAACTCAGAAGGAAAGATTCTTTTATCGTGAATATTAATTTTGACATAATCATTACTAATTATATTTTTTGGAAGATGAAAAATATTGAGTTCAGTTTTGTTTATTTTAGAGAGATACAACTACTATTTAACCAAAGACTCAAATGATGGAGATCTGAAATAACCTTTTTACTAAGCTGAGTAAGTGATTTATTTATGCATAGAAGATTGGTATCATCAGCAAAATGGTGAACAGTGGAATTGCTTATAGAGTGAGACAAGTCATTTAATATATTAAAAACAGCAAAGGCCCAAGAACAGAACCTTCGGGACACCATATTTGATAAATTTTTTGGAGGATTCAAACTCATTAATGGAGACAAACTGGCTACGATTTTCAATATATGTTGAAAAATAATTCTTAGCGATACCCCGTATGCCATAGTAGTATAACTTTTTATTTAAAATCTTGAGGTCGACCGTGTAAAAAGCTTTTTGGAAATCAATAAAGACGCCACAAGCAAATAAACCACTATCGATTGCACCACGTATCATTTCAGTAATGCTTATAAGAGCATGTGAAGTAGAGTGTTTTAAACGAAAACCATATAAGCACATAGAATTATCAAGAAATTGGTAGATACAAGAATAAATTAATTTTTCAAGAACTTTGCTGATATAAGATAACAATGATATTGGTCTGTAGTTATTACAGTCGAGTTTTGAGCCCTTTTTTTTGAATTGGTTTAACAGATGCTTTTTTGAAAATGTTAGGAAATATACCTGTAACGAATGAAAGGTTAAATAGTTTAGAAAGTAATGGAAAAATATCCCAAGCAAGAAATTTAAGAATTAAGGTTGGAATGCTTTATAGACCAGAAGCCTTGCCATCATTTAGAGAAAGAATAATAGATAAAATTTCATTTTCATCATTAGGTTTAACGAATATAGATTTAAGGTTTGATGTTTTTTAATAGTTATAGAACTTATTATGGGATGAGTGAATGTTTTTTTGCAATTCGTCAAGTATTGAAATGAAGAACGAGTTGAATTTTTCTGATATTTTGTTTGAATCATGTATAATCCCAGATAGCATAACTTATTGGTCCAACATTGGCCCATTGTTGGCAGCCAACTATTTTAACGTTGAGCCTATGTTGGTTGACTGATGTGGCCAACATTGGCGTGATACAACAAACAACATTAGCCCAACAGTGTTGGGCCGACGCACAGTGAGTCAAAATCTATAAAAAACGGCAAAAAACCCCTCATAAAAAACTTTTGCTAGAAAATATATAATTAGTTTATAATGTCACTAAATACCACTAAAAGACAATAAATAATTTTTTTTTTAATAACTTTTAAGATTTCACCGATTTATACGTCTTTTTCCGAGACTTATTTATTTTATTTTATTTATCGGAAAACTCGTTCAAAAAAGTCTCGCTTTAGTGTCACTCTTTTAAGATTGATATAGGTAAAAACAGTTCAAAATTTAATTTGAAGTCATATGTTTAAGATGTTTGGTATCTATTAACAACATTTTTAACAGTAAATTTTAATTTTAGATTTTCATTACTGAGATCTCAAAAATATGTCATAAATTGATTTTTTTAAATTAGTTTAATTATGAGTTTAGTGCAAAAACTAAAAGATTCCAATAGACTTCATGGTAGTTTTAATATTTTCCCATTAATAGGTATATATGAAAGCAGAAAAAATAAAGATCATTTGCCCCAACTTGCCCCAATTAAAATAAGATCTTTTAAATACTTCGTTTTTTTTTGTATTTTTTTTTTTTCCGTTTTTAATTATAACTTGCGCATAAAGTAGCGAACAATAGTTCATTGCTTGCATTCATCACAGAAATAATACATTTAGTTCCTATTACTAAAAAAAACTCATGCTCAAGCAGATGGTGCTAATTATCAAACCTCAAAACCAAAATATGCAATATTTGATGTTATAGTGCATGTTTTAAAATTCAAACTTGCGTGTAAAATAACTAACAATAGTTCATTGCTTACATGAAACATGAAAAGAATACATTTAGTCCCTGTAATTTAAGAGTTAGGAAATAATCATGATAATTTACTCGAAGCTCTTATACGTGAGTTTTGTAGGCTGGAGGGCGTGTACTATGAAAGTATTGACAAACCTAAAATGTTAAATCTAAAGAAAACTCTAATAATATTTAAATGTAAATTCCGATCAAAATTGCAGAAATATTTAAGAATCTTCTTTAGACTTTTGGAACACGAGCAAACTTGGTTTAAAAAATATGTAACTGTTGACAAAAAAAACTTTGCAGCAGGTCCAGGCAGAAAGAGCAAGAACTGGGAAGATTCAGGTGATAGAAGCAAAAGATCTAAGATAATAATAAATAAATTAAGTTCAACCCAGTTTGAAAAAATAGTTTACAAACTTAAATATTAAAAATTATTTTGTTTAAGGTTGCCAAATTGGCTGAACATCCTGCTGAAGCATTGGCATAAGTTTTAATTAAAAAAGCCACTAGAGATTCTACCAAAGAAAATTTCGTTGTTCTCATGAAAAGTGCAACAAACTCTGAAAAAATTTATATCTCGGAGATAAATTTTCCGATAAAAATGAAAACCGAAGATGCCTTGAGCTTAAAAGTTCAGTGTGACCTTTCTGATGAGCAGTATCAAATTATTAGAAATTCATCAATAATACATAATGCAGATATTTATCCTTCACTTCACGAAATTAAGAATGAGAGACACAAGTGTTGTCCTGAGGGTTTAATTGTGACAGAAACATCTGCTTCAACTCCTCTACAGGGTATATTTAATCATACTCTGACAAGAATATTAACTTTTACGGAATGCCAAGACTTTATGAGAATGTTTGCAGAAATTGGAGGGAAGTTTAAAGGTGTACTTCACTTTAAAGGTGGCTTTGATGATGCCTCCAGTCAAAGTGTCTATAAACAAAAATATACTGATACAAATATTGGTGAGGCCCAAGTTAACGAGCAAAGTTTTTTCCAAACAGCTATTTTTCCACTTAAATTAACCATCACGAACAAAAATATATGGTTAAATAAGAAGCCTTCCAGTACACAATACTGTAGACCCTTACACCTCCAATATCAAAAAGAAACGGAAGAATTGATACGAAATGAGTATGAACTTTTAAAAGCAGAAATGAATAGACTACTCAAGTTTGAAGTAAAGTTAGAAGTAGAGGAAGGCAAACCGGATACGACAATCACATTTAAATTCAAACTAGATTTAACCATGTTTGATGGTAAGGTGGTTAATGCCCTCACTAACACTCTATCCTCCCAATCATGTAATGTTTGCGGATCTAAGCCCGGTGAACTTAATAGCCCAGAATTGATCAGATCTAAACCAGTTAATGAAAAAGCTTTATCTGTAGGCCTTTCTACTCTGCATTGCTGGCTCAGATCTTTTGAATATATTTTACATTTAGGATATAAGTTAAACATTAAAAAATACTTTGCCAAATCCCCCACTGAAAAAGCATCAGTGAAAAGTAGAAAAAAGAACATTTAACTGAGGTTTAGAGACGAGCTAAGTCTTATAGTTGATTTGCCTAAACAGGGTTTTGGCAACACTAACGATGGAAACACTGCCAGAAGGGAATTTGAAAATGCTGAAACTTTCGCTGATATAACGGAAGTGTCAGTAGATGTAATTATTAGATTGAGGACAATCCTAATACCAGTATGCTCCTGTTATTAGTTAAACTCAAAAAATTTTGGCCAGTATTGCTATGAAACTACAGCTCTTACACTCAAAAACTATTGCTGGTATATGATTCTCCCAACTGTTCATAAACTCTTGGAACATGGTGTGCAGATATCTGAGGCATTAGAACTGCCAATTGGTTACTACTCTGAAGAGTCACAATAGGCTCTAAATAAGGAAATTCGCAAAGCTAGATTAAACCATACAGTCAAGATATCAAGAAAGAATGTTATGGAAAACCAGTACCAATACCTCTTGATTAGAAGTGATCCTGTAATATCAAACATTTGTTTCAAAAAATACAAGGTTGAACATGGAAAAACACTTACCCCTGAAGTTTTATCTTTGTTAATGCTGTAATAATAAAATAAAGCTTTTTCATAACTTTAGGTTTTTTTTTTTGTTTTCTTGAAAGAAAAATTAGATGAGATAAATATTTATTTTGTATTTAATATACTTTAATATTATTATAATATTAAAAGAGTTTTTGAATCTAATTTTCCTTTTAATAAATATATGTTTTGGTTTGAAGAATATAATTTTTTTTAATTAAGCCTTTGTGCGCGTAAAAGACTATAACACGTATACGCGTGTATACGTGTTAGAGTCTTATACGCGTGTACGACCTTTAGGCACAAGAAAAATTTACATTAAAAAATATGTAGTATTTTGGATCAAGGAATGCGATTTATTTATTTAAATCATATTTTGCGCGCGTAAATGACACCTACACGCGTAAGCTTGCGTTGTACGCGTCATAGGTACGCGTAAAAAATATTTTCAATAAAAAATATTAATTTTTTGACCCAAAATACAATAGTATTGATATATCACACGTTTATATATGATAGTTATATAATTTTTGCTGTTTTTTCACGTTTCTGACTCACTGTGCGACGTTGGCTAACTTATACGGGCCAACATCGGCTTTATACTTAGCGCAACATTGGTCCAATGTGTTGGCCTAACATAAATGTTTTGCCAACCTTGATAACTCTTAGTTATACGGTTCGTTAACGAACCGTATTTGCATAATATTAGGTGAAATTTTACCTAACATTATGCAAATTGTTGAAAACAAAAAGATAAATAAGAAGTTTGTTATAAGCAAAAAAAAACTTATTAACATTATTATTCTTTATTATTATTTTAAACAAATGAGAAGTAGATTATTTAAAGTCATTGTTTTCATCTTCACTATCTGGATCAGCATGCGGTCAGCAGCGAACTGCTTGCATTACAACATTGCTTAAGGCTAATGAGCAAAAACTGTATTTTCCATTTTTCCCCATCAAGTTGATTTTAAGTGCTAGTTCGTGCGTAAATAAACTTTTTAACACCTTTCTAACTGTATCATTCACATCAGTTCCACCAGTTATTCCAAGGAAACCAGTCTGAAATTTAAAATAATAAACTTATTAAATAACTTCTCAGCAATAACTTAACGACATTGTTATATTTCATTAACGTTTAAAATTTTTTAGCATCTAGTAAATTATTTGTTTGTTGAGTTAATTAATTAAATTAATTCAATTTACCATAGCACTTTTAAAATCACTACATTCAAGTTTGTCATCTAAATTTGTAGCATCTTCCTAACTCCCTTATATTTCGAAACCATCTGGAACCTTAGTGTTGTTTGAGCATAATCCTAATTTTGACAATACTACATTCAGCATTGCATTGCATGTTTTTATTTTCGTGCTTAGCTCCTTGATCTCCTCCTTTTGTTCAACTATCAGTTTCAACATATGTTGATTAATACCTAAAAAATATTGTGTTGAATATATCTAAAAAATTAAATATTGGATAAGTTGCCTTCACTGTGAAAAAAATAACCTAATTTTCACCCAAGTATACAAAGAATATATGCATGTGTTTTATAAAAATTGTAAAATATATGCACATGTGTTGGAGTAAATCATATTTTTGTAAGGCTGTTTATAAATTTTTTTGTATATACTTTTGAATACACATGTATTACTAATAATAATTACAAACGATTGAAAATGTTCTTAAATTATATCAATTTATGTAAACTTAAACTTTCATTTGCACAATTAAATTATAAAGATAATTATTTGAAACCTGATAAATGTTTTGGAGATAATTGGAGATAAATAAAGTGTGACAACTTTTTGGGCGCATTGATACACGGCCTTATTTCAACCAATTCTGGCGTATTTTTTTAGAGCTATCTAAAAAAAGATCAATTTTGTACTTTAATATATATATATATATATATATATATATATATATATATATATATATATATATATATATATATATATATATATATATATATATATATATATATATATATATATATATATATATATATATATATAATATATATATATATATATATATTTATACATATATATATATATATATATATATATATATATATATATATATATATATAATATATATATATATATATATATATATATATATATATATATATATATATATATATATATATTTATACATATATATATATATATATATATATATATATATATATATATATATATATATATATATATTATATATATATATATATATATATATATATATATATATATATATATATATATATATTTATACATATATATATATATATATATATATATATATTTATATATATATATATATATATATATATATATATATATATATATATATATATATATATATATATATATATATATATATATATATATATATATATATATATATATATATATATATATATATATATATATATATATATATATATATATATATATATATATATATATATGGCCGTAGAGAGAAGGGTATATTGTCCTGGGGCCCATGTCTGTTTAATGGTCCGTAAGAAAAAAAAAAGAGTAAAAAAAAAAAAAAAACTTGCGGCAATTTGGCATTATATGTTGTATATTATGTGTTATTCGAAAAAGAAAAAAAAAAGTGTTTGAACTTATTTGTACTAACCTTTTTTTTTTGTAATAACCTTGGTGGAGTAGTCCACCATGATTAGTACATTAGTAAAAAATTGTATGAAACAGATTATTAAAGAATAAAATTAAAAAAATAAAGAATCAAAATAAACGCAATTACATAAAATGGGAAATAAAATGTATTCTTACTAATTGCAGCAGGAACAAGCCCAGAAGGAACAGTGGGAGCAATTGGCAACAGACTTGAATGGTATTGAAACCAAATAACAAAAAGTAATTAATAATATTTTATGGTAAGTAAAATATATATTTGAATACTGTAAAAAAAAGAAAAATTTTAAAAGCTGATTAAAAGTTGATAAGAAATGATTTTAAAGTTTTTTTAAAGTAAATTTCTTTTTCTTTGTTACCCTAACCTCTTTGTTACTTTCATCGTGGACAAAGTTAAGTTCTTCTAAACGATGAAATGCATTCATCTTGGATGTTCGACTTTGTATTTTAAGATCTAAGTCATTAGAATTAACCTCTTTAACTTCTGTTGAGGAGGTTAACTCAGCCTTTGTTGCAATTTCTATTGCTTTTTCATAGGTATCTATTAAAACATTTATTGTTGAATATTTTTTATTTTTAAGATATAAAAAATTTAAATAAAATATAACATTTGTTAATTCTATAAATTAGTTCAATATTTTCAACAGATAAATACTATATTTAATTAACAACAGATAAATATTATATTAATTTAAAAAAAAAGTTTATATTATTAATATAAACTTTTTTTAAATTGACAATATTAGCAGAAATTTAAGAAAAGCTTTATCTGCAGTTCCAAATAAACGAATCACTTCATGCATAGACCAATTGTCTGTATTAGGTATTTGAGAAGTGATAAAAGCTTTTTTTATCTTTGAAGTACAATGATAAGGCGGCCAATAACTATACTTTTTATCTCCAGACAACCATGTTAAAGGAACAGGCTCCACTTCATCTCCAATAAACTCTACAATTATATATTTACCACCAGACATAATTTGTATAAATTGATAAACTTTAAACTGTGTCAAAAAACAATATATAAAAATCAAAATAAAGTGAATGATAAAAAACTATTTAAAGACAAATAATAAAACGCTTTAATTGTATAATTACTTAATATATTATCAAAACACATGTTATACAATGTACATGTTAAATACTACTTTTCTTTTTTTTCAAATAAGAAATTCAAAAATATGTGTGAATGAGTGGTAAAGCAAAATATCTAGTGTTATCTAACTTTATAAGTATACACTTGCTTATTATATCTGAAACAGGAAAACCAAGTAGATTCAAGTTAACATCTTTTACTACACTGATGTGTAAGCAGCTGGATTGTAGGGGGTAGTCAAAATAATCATTTGTTGAAGTAAATTTATGGCAAAGTAAAAAAATTTTACTATCTTGAACAACAATGTTTTTCACAAGGCAATACTGATTATTGCTTAATAACACACAACAGTCTTTATAACATTCAGAAACACTTATTTAAAAAAAGCTAGTTTTCAACTTTAAATACTGAACACAATTTGAAAATATTGATAAAATGGGACCATGGTCATGTTTGCCAGACAAAACAAACTCATCAGAAAGTGTATCTTGTTCTACAGTGTAACTTGTCATCTCAGATAATCGTTTTACAACTTGCTGTATTGGCTGCTTAGGTTTTCTAATTAACTTTTTTAACTTTCCCAAAAAATTTGCAAATGGAAACGCGCTAAAACAATCAAGTGGACCAAATCTTTTTGCATCTGAAGCTAAATGCACACGATTGTGAACATTATACACTAAAAATTCTTTTCCATACAAAATGTGTGCATTCTGAACAAATAATTTGAGGAGACTCCCAGTATACTCTGAATGTGTTTTACATAATCGAGAGTTCACAAAAATACTTACACCACAGACCAACAACAAAAAATGTTTATAAACTTCATCATCAACAACTCCATTAAATGCAGCAATACCAGCATAAAGAAGAAAGGTTCTAAGCTCAGTTGCTTTCCAATAACAAATTTCTTGAATAGCACGTGGTTTACAAGAAAATTCAGTAGGGAAGTCTTTAGCCATGCTAATTAGTTTATCTGAAACTTCAGCAGTTTTTTTTTTGCAAGGTAACAGCCCATAAGACCTCCTTTACCTATCCACTGTTTAACTAACTTACCAACAACTCCTATACAGACCAGATGCATATAATCAATTGGAAAATTTGTTACCATGCCTATTCCAAACTCAAGTAATAAAGTTAGACCCTTATGGTGCTCTTGGTCATCCATTGCAGCAAAACCTTCATTATTACGTAATTGGCAATTCACATCTGTGTATATTACTCTTCCACTCCATTCACCATCAACCACACATTTTTCACAGGCAGAGTATCCACTGTGAAGCTTAATATTTTTTTAAGAAAGCTCTTGCAGGTGCGTCACAAACAAAAGCACCTATTAGTTTAGTGTAATGAGCTCTGTTAAACAAAATACCTTGTAACAACAATTCTTTAGCCTCTGCAACAAATTGGTCTAAATATTCATTAAGTGAATCTGGCTTTGTTTTACCCATGTATATACCCACAACAAATGGCTTTGGCATTCAAGACTGCATAACATAACACAGTATTGGCCAAAATTGATTAAATGTACTTTTAGATAAGGAACCCATCAACATTTAAACATAATGTTAACACATTTTCTTCATTAGTTAGTCTTTGATTTGAGAGAAAGCTTTCAATACCACTACGCAGTCCCATTTCCTAGTTCTCTAATTACAACACTGCATGGAGTCTTAAGCAGTGTTCTGGAATCTTGAGGCAATAAGGGGTGATATGGATTCAATAGTTTCAATAGTGATGTTAATGATACATGTGTTATGTTAAACTTAACAGCCCACTCACGTAACTGCCCTACAAATTTTAACTGAATCAGCTCACTATCAACTGTTTCATTATCGCTGCTGTAATTAAAATGTTGAAGATGGTCATCATATGTATAATCTTTACAAAACCTACTATCTAAATCACTTGCTTGCATATAAATAGATGAAAAAATTGGGTTAATATTGTTAAAAATGTTA